GGAGGGGCTGCTGTACTTACTATGTCTGGACTTTTTTTAATTTTAGCTCTTGGATTTTTGATCAGACTCTGATTTTTTGGGTTTCCTTTTGACAGAGTTGCAGTTTAGGGGCGGCGGTTAGGAGGAGCTGTGCTGAAATGAGGTAAACAGTGACGTGGAGGTGGCAGCAGCGTAGGCCATGGACCGGACTGGCCAGCGGGCTTGCTGTCTGGGCGGGCTGGGTGGAGGACTCCCACGCTGCACACTAGCCAGCTGGCTTGTGTTAAAGCGCTGGCTGAAAATAACTCTCATTGTCTGGGAGCTGCTACTGCGGCAGGGCAGGCTATGGCTGCCAAGAGGCCAAGGCAGCAGGAGCTGGTGCCTCCTACCTCCCGAAGCTGTCGCCCTTTGGGAATAGTGCCCAGCTGGCCACAGCTGTGCCCGCTGCCCGTCCCTAGAGACATGAAAGGCAGGCGGGCTGTGGTGCTGGGCCTTTGTGCCTGTGTTGCCCACTTTGTCCCCGCTGGGCGCAGGTTGGCTGGCTGCAGGGGGTCCTAGTGGGAACACAGTGTTCCAGCGTCTCCTCCAGCAGCCACTCAGGCTCCCAGAATTTTGCCCTTCACCACTTTTCACTTCTGCTCGTCTACCCCGTGGCCTGCAGCTGCGAGGGAGGACTTGGCCAGGGGCTCGCAGCATGTTGAGAAGCATGTGGTACCGCAGTAGTGCCTCATTCTCCCTGTGCAGTCTAGATGCAGCTCCCCAGAGCCCTGTCCCCGTGGGCCAAGCACAGGGGCTGAGGCTTCCACACTTGGGAGACAGTTGCAGCCACGGGAAGCTTGACGGGAGGTAGTTAGGAGAAAGAAAATGTCGATAAAAGCACCAACTCATTTTCTGTACCTGCTCGGAATAACAGCCCTTGCTGGCCTTTCCCAAATCTTCCAGATCCCTTTCCCAGGAATGTTTCAGACATTTCTGCCTGGCTCTCAGAGGAGCTGTACCATTTTTATCTCTCTTCCTAAGTTTTATTTTGATCAACCAAGACCAACAGAAGCAGTTGAACAGGGAATTTTTGGTGGCTCCTAGTTCCATTGGTTGGGTTTTCCCCAGACCTGGCTCAAGCAGACAAGCAGAGAAGGGGTGAGTCCCAGAGCAGGGCCCACAGCTTTGAAGGAAACTCCAAGCTCTACTGGTATTTCCCTTCCCCTGCAGTGGGAGGAAACGAGGAGGGGCTGTGAGGGTGAGGGGTACAGGGCCGGAAGGGGGAGGGACACCCTCCCCCACTGGGTCTTCCCTGGGGCCAGTGAGATCGGAGATAGACAGTAAGGACACCTTGCTGGAGGCACAGGACCCTGGCTTCCACGGAGCCCACCGAGCAGGCAGTCTGCCTGACTGTGGACTTGGAGTAAGCCAGAGCAGTCTTGCTGGAGGAACATCAGATCCATGCCTTCTGGCATCTTTCTGTTGTGGGTTTTTCTTATTGGACTTCTTGCTAACTCCCTCAGACTTAGGAATCAACCATAGTTGCTTTCAGTTTGAGTTCGTGGTCTTCTCCCATCTTGTGTTATGACTTGTCTCCCTGACACCCTACCCAGACTCCCTCTTCTCCAGCCCCAAGTACAGTGGGATTAAAATTGCCTCCTAGTCTTGGAGGCATCCTAGATCCCTGAGAGGGATCAAAGAAGGGATCTAGGATTGCTGTGTAGTTAATATTGAGAAGGAGAGGCGGGAGCAGGGATAGAGAACCTAGAAGCAAGAGGGCAGGTCGCTGGGATGTCAGACATTTCATAGGCTTTTCAGGAAAAAGAAGGGAACTGTCAATTCTTACAATGTTTCAGACATATAGTCATAAATGTTTATCATTTGACCCTTATAAAAGCCTATGAAGCAGTGAAATTATCCCCAGTTTATAGATGAGTTGTCCAAGTTTTTTTTGTTTTTTTGTTTTTTTGTTTTTCTCCGGTTCCGGGAACTGAACTCACAACCTTGAGCTTGCCAGGCAGGCGCTTTTGCCACTGAGCTAAATCCCCAGCCCCTAAGTTGTCCAAGTTTTGATAGTTCTGAAGAGCCCAAAGTTGATCTTGGGCCTTTATTTTTTTGGTACCGGGAATTGAACTCAGGACTTTGCACTTGCCAGGCAGGCACTGTGCCACTGAGCTACATCCCCAGCCCTGACCTTGGGCCTTCTGACTACATTCTGTGCCTGTACTCTCTCCAAGACAGATGGTCAGCAAGGTTCTCACCAAGGAGTTAGCAGGAGTTTGGCTCCGCTCTGTTTCTGAGAGGACACAGTCTCTGGAAACCCTGAAGAAAATGTCAGGGAAACAGACCTTTGACTGAGCCCAGAGCCCAAGTTTGCTCCCCAGCTGTCCCTGGAACTCTGGAAATTGTCCTTCCTAAGGGCAGAGCAGCTTCCTCAAGACATTGGACCCCTGCCGAACCCACGCATGTTATCAGTGGGGGCAGCAGCCTTGGCACCCTTGTCTGGCAGGAAGTGAATTGCCCTGGTCCTGTTACCTTGGCTGTTGGCTCCCACTGTAGTCAGTGACCTGCTTCTTGTGAGAGCCCAGTGGTGGGGATTTCCCCTTACCCATCCTCTCCCTCTTATACTTCAGCTCTGAGCAAGCTGAGAGAGCTGGGGCCACTGTCCAGGAGGTGCCGCCCAGAGCTGTAGACAGGAGGGCGCGGGCATTCCTATTCTTTCAAATGCACAAATTCTGGGAGTCTAGGTGGCTTTTGTAGGAGGGGCTGTGTTCCCATCCTGTGTTCCTGTTAGGATCCCCTCACTCACCAACCAAAGAATGTGTACGATGCCAGTGACCCCAGGGGTTCCTCCTTTCCAAGGATATAGTTTGCCCAGGTGTCTGGAGTGTTTCTTCCATAGGCTACTGTTCCCAAAGGGGGTGATTTGCTCAGTCTTGAAGCCCTGAGAGAAGCGAGTGTTTCCTGACAAGTTCACCTGGTGGGAAGGTATGAGGCCGCAGCCTCCGACTGTGGTTGGCACGGAGAGGAAGTTGGTGTAGACCGGATGTGTCTGCCACAGTAGTGTAGCGAAGACTGCACCCTTCCCCTCCCAGCCGCTCTCGTCCAGGGGAGGCAGCAGCAAACTTTTTGTGGCACAGACTTGAAACAGTCATATGACAGCAGCATGCTCAGGAGGCACAGAGCCATGACCACGCCTGGTGACTGTTTCGACTCAGTTCTGTCTTGGGTTTAGCCGGCTAGGCTGCAGACCTGTCCCGGGCCTGCTTTTGACCTTTGGGTCTCTGTTAAGGCCTCCTGCTCCCATCTTACTGTCCACTCAGACATGTTGGAATCAGCTCTTAGCAATTCAGTTCTAGAGAGAACATTCCAGGCCTGTTAGCCCATCCTGCCACCAGTGCTGCATTGGCTGTGGGAAGGACTGGACTGGCCTTTCTTTCTTGTGGAAGTTGAGGCAGATTTGTGGGGCAGTGGAAGCCACGGGGAGAGGTGTGGTGGGGTAAATTCCTCTTTCCTCCTCTTACCTGCCCTACTTCTCTAGTTTTAAATTCTTCCTTTTGGGCACTCCAGTTAGAGACCTCAACCCTGATTGTTTTTTGAGCCACAGTGATCCTGTTTCCATAGATAAGACCAGAGCTGGCGAGGGTCTCAACCACAGGGTTACCAACAGCTTATTCTCCACTGAGAGGAGGCGGCTCTAAGCATAGATGTTGTTCCTTAGGGGTAAAATAAACATACGGCTGCTTTAATGTATGTGTAAGTTACGCAGTGTGACAGAAATTTTCCTTTTGATTCCTTAAAAAAGTGAAGCCCCCCACCCAATCTTCTGCTGCTTCTGGAGTAAAGCAGAGCCTTTGTGATTCTTTAGGAACCTTGTACGCACAGTCATGTCCCCTGAGATCAGGATGCAGGCAGAGACAAACCACCTGGCCATGCTTGTGTTACCAGGAAGTGAGACCCAGATGCGGAGCAGTAGGCAGCAGAGACAGAATGAGAAGCAGGGTGCGAGGGTTGTCAGACAGCCATGGCACTTCAGAGGGGGTACATTTCACTCAGGACCAGAAGCAGGCAAGTGTAGTGGTCTGATCAAAGTGTCAGACTGCCTTTAAAGATGAGGGCTAGGAGCAGAGGCTAGAGGACTGCGGAGGGCGGGGACAGGCATGGCTTCAGGCAGACAGGAGGGGAGGGTGGGCTCCCATCACGGCAGGCTGTGCACAGATGCCTTAGGCCTCTGTCGCTCACATTTTACTTTGTGTATTCATTCAGCAAATAGTACTGAGCAAAATAAAAATGATTCTTGGACTGTCACTTGGTATCTTACGTTGCAGTGTTTGCGGGGTCAGCATACTGCTGTGTCTTAATTGGGAGGGATGTCGTAAGTAATTTTCTACTAATACTTAAAGTCCTAAACTTTTGTAAATATTTTCCTAAAAATAGTGAGCAGTTCTCTTTACACAAATGCTGAATCCTGATTTAGGTAAGAGGTAGAACGGCAGCCACCACCCAGGCTGAAGGTGGCTCAGAGCTCGGCTATACAAGTAGGAAAGTCACCCCTCTCTCGGGTCATGGCAGAGAAAAGGTTTGCAAGTTGCTGCTTTAAACTGGGAACTTTCAAAGTTTTGAGCTCTCTTGTGTTGAGAAGTATATTTTACAGCATCATCTATGTGCATATGACATATATATGCATATATACATAACATGTAAAATATAAATAAACAAAGTATAAAAGAAAAACTTTATTAAATGTTTATGCATTCTACTTGCACTGAGTCGTGGTATCGCCTATTTAAATTTGCCCATTTTCATTGAAAATGAAGTTAATTTTGACTCACCAGATTGATTCCATGACCTGTGTGGTATGGAAAACACTGCTCGACCAAACTTGACTAATACGTGTAACAGGGAGGCAGGAGGACTGTCCTACCTTTCTGGGCCTGCAACAGAGCTAGGGTGGGGCCCAGCAGGGATGGTGGGACAACCCAGCCTTTCTGTCCTTACCTGTGGTATATGTTTCAGCCTGTTAACTCAGGTTCTCTCCTCAGAGCTCCATGAACCTGCCTCCAGACAAGGCCCGACTCCTGAGGCAATATGACAACGAGAAGAAGTGGGATCTGATCTGTGACCAGGTACTGGATGAAAAGAGTAGGGATGTTGCAGGGGGCCTGCAGGAGCCCTAGCCTGGTTTGCCTGTGCTTTCTGTTCCAAAGGGACTCTTCGTAGCAGAGACAGAGCTGGTAGGCCGAACTCCTGCAAAAGGCGTCTTCACTTCTTCCAGTGTGTGGTTTATGCAGGATGGTTTCCCCAGCAGAGCCAATTTCTGCTGTTCTCCAGGGTCAGGGCCGTGCCTGGCAGGACCTGCCAAAGGATCTTTCCTCTGTCACTCTGCTCCAGACCTGGCAAATAGCAAGATGCTTCTCATTATCTACAGGCCTCTGGGAATGAGACACCCTAGTCTGCTAATTGCTTTTGGTCCTTTTGAGACAGGGTCTCACTGTGTTTCCAAGTGTGAAAATAGTCAAGGCTACTGTTCTCCCTACATGAATAGTGTTTAGAACTCAAAGAGTAGAGCTACCATTGTTTTACTTAGAACTAAGGTCTTCTCTGCTCTTCACCTGGCTCTTTCCCTGCACACATGGTCCTGAGTCTTTGAACTCAGACATTCCTGTCCCCAAGGCTCAGTTGGCTGCTACTTCTGTGTCTCTTGGTAGGTATGGAGGGGCCTGGTGCAGAATGTGGGCAGTTTGTTTACCCTGTACTTTGCCATGTAGCTTTGTCATGAACAAATTATTTCTTTCAAGCTGGAGAAAATCATAATAGGCAATACTTAGTGAGTGCTGATTTTACATCACGTACTCCACATATACTGAAATACCTCACTTAACCCTCACAAAAACCCTCTTAAGGAAGGCACCCTGGCATTTTATAGATGAAGAACCTGGAGGTCAGTAATGTAGTGCTGGTGAGTGACAGAGCCAGGTCGGGCTCAGGCAAGCTGGTGCCAAGCCTGTGCCAACTGTTTTCTCCCACTGCCTTCCTAGTAATGCTGCTTAACCTAAGCTAGGATTATGGTTTAGAGGACCTAGTCCAAGTTCCCTGTCCAACGAAGGCCTGTTTCCTTGGGTTCTGCATTAAGAGGTGTGGGTTAGTACCTGCCTGGGGTTTGGAGAGCAACAGCTGCTTTGGTACTGGGATTTTCTAGTTGATGGTCTCTGTCTTTTTTTTTTTTTTTGGTCCTTTTGAGACAGGGTCTCACTTGCAATTCAGGCTGGCCTTGAGCTCACTTTGTAGCCCAGGCTGAACTCAGACTTGCAGCAGTCCTCCTGCCTCAGCCTCCCTGAGTGCTGGGATTATAGGCGTGCACCACCACGCCTGGCTGTCAGTCTTTTTTTTTTTTTTTTTTTCTCTCAGTCATTTCTATGTCATCCAATTTTAGCTTTGTCAAACCTCTCTTGTTTTCTTTCATTTGTTTTCAGCTCCTGTTTCCTAACATATTTTCCTGAATGCTTTCCAACCCCCTGAGCTCTTTGGTTTTGTTTTTGTTTTGTTTTTATGAGACAGGGTCTCACTGTGCATTTCAGGCTGGCCTTGACTCACTCTGTAGCCCAGGCTGGTCTCAAACTCGCAGTGATCCTCCTGCCTCAGCCTCCCGAGTGCTGGGATTACAGGTGTGTGCCACCACATCCAGCTCCCTGAGCTCTTTGAATATCTCAGCCATGGACCCTTGTAGAACTGGAATGCCAAGGGTTTCCTATTGGGTCAGACAGAGGGTTGGGCCGAAGTAGAGAGGGCCTAGACCTGTGCTATGTGTAGAAGGCCTAAGAGGTGACTTTGCTGAGGGCAACCTTCAGCATTTGAAGTTGCTTTGGATAGGTAGAGCCTGGGCCCTGGGTAAGGAGCAGAAAGTACTTTGGCAGCCTTAGCTGTGTTAATGCTGCAAAACCAGGCCAATCCCAGCTGCAGTTTTTGGAGCTATGAAAGCCAGATTCTGCAAGACCAAGCTTCCCTCTTGGTTCTTCTGACTCCATCCATCAGTTGGCCAGGCACAGAAAAGCATTTTCTAGTCATTTATTTTGGGTACTATTCATAGTTCTGTAATCCCCACATCTTAGCAAGCAGCAGGCTCTTAAAGTAATTTTTTGACATAGAAAAGCATTTTAGGCTATGGAAACACTAACTGGAGGAAAAGATGGCAGTAACTGGGAACACCTTGGGGATAAGTCAGGGACAGAAACCTAGAGTTTGGGCAGTGCTAAGGGCTACGTGACAGCTGGGAGGCAGAGTCCCCTTGTTGAGCACTTTGAGGTATTCTTTCTTAGCGCCCTCCTCAGACTGTGTACACACACCTGCATGTTTTCTTTATAGGAGCGATTCCAGGTGAAGAATCCTCCCCACACTTACATCCAGAAACTCCAGAGCTTCTTGGACCCCAGTGTAACTCGCAAGGTAAAGTATGAGGCTGTGCCTTACTCCCCTTCATAGTTGCATGGGGTTTGGGCACAGACCTTTTGGCTTAGGGTTGAGGCATCTGCTTTTAAGCAATGAGAGTTGGAATTTTGGACTCTGAGGCCACCGGCTTGGAATGGCTGCTGAGTCCTGGCGGGAAGATCTGTAACTGTACTCTTATAACCCCTCCATTTCCTTTTCTGCCCCTTTTATTTGTACTGTAAGTTGGACAGGGCATGGTGGTGGGGCTTCGTTGGTGACAGAGGTGCTGTGTTTACAGAAGTTCAGGAGGAGAGTGCAGGAGTCAACCAAAGTACTGCGGGAGCTGGAGATCTCGCTTCGTACCAACCACATTGGGTGAGTCCGGTTTAGCCACTCTGCCTGGCCCCAAGTGCTGCCTGCCGCACAGGATCTGGTGTCCTCTGTGGAGGATTTGCCTGTTTCTCCTTCTTGCCGTGGAGCACCGTTGTCCCCTGAATGGCTTCTGGATCCCCAGAGCTCCAGATTGTGCCTTTCTGGCTTTTTTTTCCCGTCAGCTCTGCCAGCCGCGACTGGATGCTTCTGGCAAGTGTGGGGCCCCTTCTGGGGTCCCCAGACTGTGGCTTTGAGTGGAAGACATTCTCACAGCACCTGAGCTTAGAGTCTGCTGTGGCCTGGTGCTGAGCCAGCCAAGGCCTAGAGAGTCTGGGAGTGAGGGGGAACACACTACATTGGGTAGGGCTGAGACCTAGTTGCTGTTGAGCAACTGTTTGGACTCTGTGATACCAGAAGGTTATTGCTGTTTGGGAAAAAGCAATGTTAGTTCATGAGCAGAAGAACCTTCCTGAAGCACCAGGAAAGATGTCGGGAGCTAAACATCTTGTGTGGTCACAGATCCTGGTGCTGCCAACTATTGACAGCACCCCCTCTGCACACACCGCAGGATCTGTGAGTCTTTCCTTCCACTTTCTAAGTAGGGAGTCAGCAATTGCTGAAAACAGGTAGAGGGCTAATGCAGTGAGGTACATACAGTAGAAAGACAGTGCCTCAGTTTGATGAAACTAATCAGCAAGTGTAGTGCAGGACGGAGAAGAGAATGTGTGTGTGCACACACTCAGAAAGGACAGCAAAGAAAGGAACCTTGGTGTAGGGCTGCAGGCAAGGGTTCCTACCTGGCCAGAGCTTGGCATGAACGTGAGCGCCTCGGTGGGTGGGAAGCGGGGCCTGAGAGCAGGCGGAGGCGGGGTGTTTGCTGGGAAGGTGCCAGCCCCACGTCCTTGAACTTCCTGAGACTGGGGTGGAAAGAGCCAAATGATCTCATCAGCCTTTCCTCTCCTGTCATGACAGCGGTCCTCTTGTCCACCCCTAGGCTAAGCCTGCTCGGGCTTCTTTGGAGGAGGGGACACCTGTGTGTAGCCAGCTGCAGCAGCCAGCAGCCGTCATGAGGGAAATGGCACAGGAGAGAACAGGAAAGGATCAGTTCCTGGTCTTGGAAGCTGGGCTGTGGTGGCCAGAGTATGGCTTCCATATCTCATCTGTGAACCAGTGTGGAAATCCAGGCCTCCTTGGTGAATTCCTCCTCCATATTGGTGAATTCTCGGCCGAAGGGAAAACCAGCAGGTCTCCTCCATTAGCTTGGCTCTAGGGGCGAGTGACTCTAAGGGGAGCCCTGAGTGCCACCTGCCCGCTGCATTACACAGAGGGCCTTCCCTCCCTCGCAGGCCCTGCGGTCTTTCTAAGTCCTGCTGTGGCCAGAGTGAGGGTGGGGTCTGCTCCTCTTGGCAGAGGCCCACAGCAGTGTGTGACAGCCCTTCGGCCTGCCTTTCTACCTGGTGCTGGCCCCTCTGGCATCTGAGCAGCAGCTAGGGTCAGAGCAGCATGGTTCCCAGGCAGTGGAGCCTCTTGGAAGTTGGCACTCAAGTTAGAAGTCTGGACCTGGGCTTTGGTTCCCAGGGAATAGCTTAGTACTGGCATTTTAGGAACTCCTGCCCTCTGACCTGAGGCTTCTCTGGGTAGTTATGTGGGAGAGCCAGGATCCTTCCCAGCAGCAAGTCAGTCAGGCTGGCATGTAGGGGCCACAGGGTGGGAGGAGGCCAAGGCAAAGTGAGGAGAGGATTGTGCTTTGGTTACAGGCTGACTGGCCCAGGGCCTGCTGAACTATGTGTGTAAGGAGGCAGATGGGAACTCAAGCTCTGGAATGGGGCTGGCTGGGAAGTGGGATTCCAGAGCGCACCCCCCCTCCCCATTCCCCTTTTCTCCCTGGATTGTATTGGTTTCTCTGCCTTGCCTAAATGCCCTTTAACCTCTCCTCAAAGTGTCAGGATCCCGAAAATAGCAGTGTAGACTCAGACAGGAAATGAGAAGGGGGTGGGGAGCTGGAGAGCAGACAGACAGGAAATGGGAGGCCTGTAGGCCCCCAGAGAGGAAGCTAACTTCAGGCAGCTCCGGTGTCAGTCAGCTTCAGCCAGAGCCTGCTGCCAAATCTCAGCTGGGCCTGGTGCTCCAGCTCAGCCTCTCTCTGGAGCCTGGGGTGTGGCTGGCCTAGCTGGTGTTCCAGCTGAGGGAGAGAGCAGCACTGCAGGATGGTTGGGTGCAGCTGGCTCGTGTAGACCCCTAGGCATCCCAGGGGAACAGAGCACTCCAGAGAGTAAAGGTTTCCTCCTGAGGTGTGGTGGATGAGCCTTGCATGACAGTCTCCCTGGAATTCACTCTTGACTTCTACTTCAGAGGTATCTCAGCCCAAAAGGAGTAAAGGCAGAGGGTGAAAATATTCTAGGACATTGGCCTTCAAGGACCCTGTTGTTTACCTGCCTGCCTTTCTGGCTGAGGGGCCACATGTCCTCAGTGTGACTCTGAGTCTGGAGTTCTGGAGTTCCTTGAGCTCCCAATCATTCCACTAGCCTTTTCCAGTTCTGCCAGATTTGCTCTGGCCTTTTTTCTTTTCTTTTTTTTAAGTGGTCTTTTGAGATAGGGTCTCACTGTGCAGTTCAGGCTGGCCTGGAGCTCACTTTGTTGCCCAGGCTGGTCTTAAACTTGTAACGATCCTCCTGCCTCAGCTTCCTGAGCGCTGGGATTATAGGCGTGCGCCACCATGCCCGGCTGCTCTGTTTTAAACACAGAACTCCCACATCCTTTTTTGCTCGTTGCTTTCCAAAACTGCTACCCTTGAGCTCAGTGAAGAGACTTTGGCCCAGTAAGCCTCTGTCCCAGAGCCCTCTTTATCCTGTTATATTAACTGACACTTTAATCACGCTGTGGACTTGCTGGCTGTGTAAAGCACATGTCTGGGGCTTGGGAGATACCAGGTCTGTCGTAAATGCTCTGGAGGACTCCACAATTCTTCCAGCCAACACTGAGCAGGGGCAGTGTGCCTAGCCTTGTGCTATACCTGAGGGATACAAAAAACGATTGAGCTAGGACCCTATCCCATATGGGGAGAGTACCTGGCCACTTACTTGACAAGTGTGTTCATGATAAAGTAAGTGGTATTGAAAGGACCTGTCCCTAGCTACTCTGCCTGAGGAAAGTCCAGGCTGCTGGCTCATGGATTTTGGTCTTCAGAATTTTCCTAGTGTGGTTGTAGATTGCAGAAGGATCCAGAGGGGTGTATTACTGGGTCAGAGACCCCTCACCCTCCATGCACTTTAATTTTTTTGTCTTTTTTTTTTTTTTCCTGAGACAGGGTCCTGCTATGCAGTTCAGGCTGGCCTTGACTCACTTTGTAGCCCAGGCTGGTCTTGAACTTGCAATGATCCTCCTGCCTCAGCCTCCCGAGTGCTGGGATTACAGGCATGTGCTACCATGCCCAGCTCCTCCATGCACTTTAGCAGACCCCTTCCCCTATGTTCTCCTGTGTCTGCAGGTGGGTGAGGGAGTTTCTAAATGATGAAAACAAAGGCCTGGATGTCCTGGTGGATTACCTGTCCTTTGCGCAGTGTTCCGTCATGTGAGTACCACCTGGGGCCAAAGGAAGGGACTCGTTGGGGAGGGTAGAGCCCCATTCTACTCAGAGAGGAAAGTTAAAACTGTAACAAGTGAAGGTGGGAACAGGCATCCCAGGACAGGAGAAATAGCCCAGGAGCGATGTAGAATGGACGGGAAAGCCAAGGGGACGTCTGGGGATCAGCGAAGACTGACCCGTTGGCTGGAATAGACGGTGTGTTTGGGGAGCAGGAAGAGTGGTGTGGAAGGGGGGTTTGGCATCAGAACCCAAGGACCCAATGTGAGGCTAGGGCAGGCAATCCAAGGTAAGGTCCTGGCTACCGGGAGAGATGCCTTGATGGGATCCATCCATCTCTGGAGAACTGAGTCTTGGTGAAGCAGCTGTGGGTCCCCAGAAGTGAATGTTTTACTCCAGGTCATTGTTGAACCCATATTCTTTGACCTGGCCTGACAGATGAAGCATTTGGGAGCTTTGGGCAGGCAGGGGGCTTGGAGGCGACCAGAAGCGAGTTAGGACAGGTGAGGTATAGTGCAGAGAACAAGGTCTTTCAAGCAGACAGAGTCAGGTTTGGGCCTCAGGTATAGCTTGTACTGGCTGTGTGACCACAAGCACATTTGTCCTCTTCTGTAAGAGGAGGTCTTCATTCCAGGGTTGTAAGGATTAATTGATGATGTGTGTGACCACTTAGGATTTGGAACATCTTCGGTCTTTACTGTGGTAGAGGCCTTATTGCTCATTTTATTATTCAAGGTGGTATGCTTTATCATAATTTCCTGACTTTATAGAAAGATAGATGACAATAATAGTAAACAAAGTAGCCCTAGATGCTGGGTGTGGTGGTGCACGCCTGTAATCCCAGCACTCGGAGGCTGAGGCAGGAGGATCTTTGCAAGTTCAAGACCAGCCTGGGCTACAAAGTGAGCTCAAGGCCAGCCTGAACTACATAGTGAAACCTTGTCTTAAAAAAAGACAAAAAACAAAAAACAACTAATACGTTTTTGTGTTTGTTTTTTTGAGATAGGGTCTCGCTATGCGAGAAAAAAAGTAGCCCTAGATAAATGAACCCTTGGAAGAGTAATCATCCCAGTTGGCTTACGATTTGCCCAGCGCCAAAAGTCCCGTGTCCAAGGAAACTGGTCCGTCCTGGACCTTGGCCGTCACCTAGACTTTCAGTTTCTTACTGTCTGCCCTTTGGCTGTTCTTTGTCTGGCAGATCTTCAGTCTCCTCTCCTGGGGCACGAACTGATGCCTGTCGTAGGTTGGCCTCCCTGTCACCTTTTCCAAGCGATGCTCTGTTAAAGTCAAGTGTGAACCACTCCCTGTTCCCATCCCTGTAGAAATCATACCTTGTGATCTTTGGATCCCTTTAAATATTCTTTTTATAGAAATAAATGAAAAATCTATGCTGAAGTTTTTTTTTTTTTTTAATTCAGACCTTTTATAGTAAAAGGATGTAAGGTGATTTTTCCTAATAAGCCTATCTTATTTGAAAAGGCAAACAAATCCCAGCTGCTTTAAACCAAGAATATACTGCAGCCTCAGTAGTATCCATGGCAGTATACTGTTTTAAGAAGAAACAGAGCGTATATGTTCTGGGAGAGTTTGGGGGAAAGGGGTGAGGCCAAGGAGAGTTTGAGAGAAGACATTTATTTGAAAGCTGCCTGTCCAGTGCTCAGGGGTGCTGTTACTGATGGAAAGCTACCAGCAAGCTGTCTGCCCGAGAGACAGAGTCCTCTGATGTCTACTGGAGAGCCCCACTGACCACCTCCTGATTGTCGTGGCAATGATGCCTCCTCCACTTGCTATGAAATGTTTGGGCATTGCAGATACTGCTTCCTGTTCCAGAAAGCCCTGGTCTCTGTGCCTTTGACCAGAGCCTTGCTCTGTGGGGAGAGGAACTTATGGGAGACGCTTTCCCTAGAAAAAATAACTTGTGGCCCACAAATATCCTTTAGTGGCCCACAGATGCAGAGGACAGGGAGTGAGATTGCTTCTCAGCTTCTGAAGGGGTGCACCCAACTGGGAGTGTGTAAGAAAAGGCCCTGTAAGTTCCTGATCTTGGCTGTGATCTGCCATATTGCTAATGGTGGGAGACATGTGATTCCAGAAGCAGGAATTGAGAAACTATCCTCACTGCGAGCAGGGCTAGACTGAGCTCCTTCGTCCGGTCTCAACCTTCAATTTCTTCCCTCAGGGAAGTGGAAGCCCAAGGAGCCTCTATATTAGGAAAACCTAGAAACACCTCAAGTAGCTAATCATAAAAAACCTCATTTTAAAACCCTGTGCTAGGCCAGATGTGGTGGCACGTGCCTGTAATCCCTGTACTTGAGAGGCTGAGGAAGGAAGATCGCTGAATTTAAGGGCAGCCTGTGCTACATAGCAAGACCTCGTCTCAAAGAACAAAAACAAAAAAGCACTACGGGAGCTGGGGTAGCTTAGTGGTAGAGTGCCTGTCCATGCTTGAGGCCCTGGGTTCCATCCCTAGAACCAGAAAAATTCAGTGTTGGCGTAGGGCGGGAGTACCCCTCCTAAACATAAAAGAGCATTCCGCTCTGGACTTGCCGGAGTTGTAGTTCCCTTCCATTCAGCCTGACTCAATCCAGAACAAATGGGGCTCCATCAGAACAGCGAGAGGCCTTTCGGCCACTGCTGTTGGCCAACTAGCAAGAGCCATAGTTTGTGCGTCACCCACCACCTCCTCCTTGTGGCAGATTCTCCTGTGGACCCATACCTTGAGCTGCCCCATCTGAGGCTGTGTGTGCAGGAAAAGAGCTGGTCCCTACTGCCTTCGGGCTATGGGGAGGCCACTCCTGGAGTTGCCGGCCACAGGGAGCAGAGAGCTGACCTCATAGTGTCCCATCTCTTCAGAGTCCCCATCTTCCTAAAACTTCTGGGCCTCCTCTGTGTTGGCACCCTCCTGACCAGGATTGGGTGTCTTCTGGCCAATTCTGTTCTTTCTTCTTGCTGCCTTTGCTTTTTGTTTACCCTGGAGGCCTGAAGGATGGGGGCGGGCTCAGCAGAGGGCTTGGCACAACTATTTCTGTGTATGTGCCTTTGTGTGCGCATATATGTCCTTTCGTGCTCCAGGTTTGACTTTGAGGGTCTGGAGAGTGGTGATGATGGTGCATTTGACAAGCTCCGGTCCTGGAGCAGGTCAATCGAGGACCTGCAGCCACCCAGCGCCCTTTCGGCCCCCTTCACCAACAGCCTCGCTCGCTCTGCGCGCCAGTCTGTGCTCCGGTATGTGTGCATTCGCTCTGCCCGCCTGCCTCCCACCCCAGCCCCAGCCCAGCCCAGGTCTTGGTAACCACGGTGAGTGCTCATGCTCCTCCCTCCACTCTTGCTTCCAGGCTCAGCTCTCTTGCCTTCTGCCTGCCAGTCTGTCTCTGGTCTGTCCTCTCTGTCTCCTTGACTCTGCCCAGCGGTCTGTCCTGGGTAAGTATGTGGTCCTCAGCTGTGCCACCCCATCTGGGGTTCCACTCTCTCAGCCATTCCTCCCCGGCTGCTCAGGCAGGGATCGGGCTTCACAGGCTGAACCGGGTCCTGCCTTCATGTCTGTTTCCCTCTAGCACTTGATCTGCCCGTCAGCTGCTCAGAGACCAGCTCCCACCCATCTACCTTCCTGCCCTTCCCTTCCTTTCCCTTCTTCCTTTGGGCCTTTTTTTCTCCAAGCCTGTGCACTCATTTGTCTGTGGTTTTGAAGAGCCATCCTGCTGGGAGGCAGACCGATGGACAGGATGATTCTCAGAGCCCTTGCTGCCCCCAGAGGCTGTCCTTTGGGCCCTGTAGCCCTTTCCTCAGCCCCTCTCTCAGGGCTGTGCTCTTCTGCTGTTCCTTTGGGTTTTGACCTCAGACGTTGCTTATCATTCTAGTCATGTAGGAGCATACGTGCTTCCTCTTTTCTTTCTTTTTTTTTTTTTTTTTCCATGAAAGATCATTAAGGTGTTTGAGGGGTGATGCAAGGCTAGGAGTGGCTGCCTGGCCTTCTTAAAGCTTTGGGGATCTGCTCTGCCTTTTGGAGATGCAGAAGTGGGATGAGAGACAAGATGCTTCTGCTCCATGAAAGGTGTAGAAGATGCTGCCACTAGAAGTGGGCAGAGGGAAGGCTCAGATGAGTGTCTCGCAGGGCACATTTGAAGGACTGAAAAGGCTTTGAATGCTACCGTGTGTATTTTGGAGCATCTCTGGGGTTAGGCTGGTTTGGGCACTGGTTATGAAGCTGAGATCCTGGGCAGTTGGTGACAAAGGTCTGTCCCAGGTAGGTGAACACAGGCTGACTGCCCTTCATCCTGCATCCTCTCTCTTGGCTGTTGGTACAAGATCCTCCTCTCCCCATTTCTTTCACTGCTAAGGGCCAGCCTGCAGTCTGGGCGATGGTGAGCATGCTGTGACCATTCAGCAGCAACCTCAGTCCCCACCTGACTGCCTGGCCCTCTCTCCCAGGTACAGCACTCTCCCCGGCCGCAGGGCCCTGAAGAACTCCCGCCTGGTGAGCCAGAAGGATGACGTCCATGTCTGTATCCTTTGTCTCAGAGCCATCATGAACTACCAGGTAAGGTTCTGCACTAGCCCTGGATGCTCTCCCGAACCGGGACAGCTAGCAGGCACCAGACCGTGAAAGATAGGTTTGCTGGATGGCCTATGGCCAAGGACTGCGCTGGGTTCTCCCTTCACCACCATCAGAGTCCTCCCTTTGTTCTTTTCTCCGTAGTACGGCTTCAACCTGGTCATGTCCCACCCCCACGCTGTCAATGAGATTGCACTTAGCCTCAACAACAAGAATCCAAGGTGAATTCCCCACCCCCTTTTCCAGGGCTCTGGGCATCTGGGCTCCATTTGTCCCTGACAAGTCCTTTTTGGCCTTGGGGTCCTGTAGCCAGGATCAGAGCCTTGGTTGGCTCCCTCACCTCTGCTGGAAGAATGTCCCTGGCTCCCTCTGGTCTGCACAGCAGCAAGGGCACAAGCCTTCCTCCCTGCCTGCTTTCTAAAGCCCACCCCTGCCCTTCGCCAACAAGCATTCTCCAGAGGACTCTGCCAGCTGTGGCCATGAGCTTATATGGTTGCGAGGATGGAAGCTGGGATGCTAATCTTCCTTCTTTACCCACTAGGACCAAAGCCCTGGTGCTGGAGCTCCTGGCAGCTGTGTGTTTGGTGCGAGGAGGTCATGAAATCATCCTTGCTGCCTTTGATAATTTCAAAGAGGTCAGTCTCCTGCCTGCATGTGTGTTTTTTAGCAGGGGGGAAGGCAGGGAGCCAGGAGGTAAGCACCATTACCTATAAATCTCCAGTGATTGAAAGTCCTGCTGGCTTGGCTACACAGGTTGCTCCTCAGAGCAGTGCTAGTACCAAAGCAAAACTGGAACTTGAGTCTTACTAGATCCTGTGCCAGGAAATTGGCTAAGTGTGCTGTAGGCTGCAGTGAGTAGTCCTAACTTGGCCATCATTAGAATCACCTGAGGAGCTTGCTGTGCCCCACTGCATACCCACTTGAGCCTGGGCATCTGCACTTTCCGAGACTGCACAGGTTGTTCTTAAGGGAACGTGTGAGTAGACCCTGGAGTGAGTGTGTTTGCAGGGAAAGAGAAAGATGTCTTCTCCATTGGTGAGGAGAAAAGGAGCTCTTCTGTGGAATTTCCCAAGCTCCTGGGCCTGGCTTCGAAACCCCAGTCTGCTTGAACATGGGATTCCTCGATATCCAGCCAGAGCTGTGGTTCCACCCCTTCCTTCTCTCTGGACCTCTTCCCTGACATCCATTGTTCAAGCCAGGAAATTACTCTTCCTCCCTGAAGCCCCGGGACTAAGAGGAGCCTCTGGACCCCTTTCAGCAGAGGGCTTTCCTGCACACTAAACCCCCCCCCCCCGCCACCAGTCCACCTCTGTGTCCCCTGGGACCTCAGCCTCCTGCTCAGCCCTGACCTGACTCCCTTCCCATGTCCCTTTTCTCCTTCCTTCAGTAACTGGACAGTATCAGGCCTTTGTGTGTCATATTGACCTGGCCTAAGAGGCATCTAAAGCCCAGCCTAAGGGCACAGGCTTTAGTGATTTCTCTGAATTGGGACCAGATAACTAGGGCCAGATTCCAAGTCCCAGGTTTTCTTCTATAGTGTCCAGAATAGGGAGGTGAAGGAGATATAAAAAGAATTAAGATATGTTGCCAGACATGGTGGTGGTACATGCCTGTAATCCCAGCGCTTGGAAGGCTGAGGTAGGATTGCCACAAGTTAGAGGCTACATCATGAGTTCAAGGCCAGCCTGAACTAGTGAGACCCTGTCACTCTCTTGCACACTCTCTTTTGTGCTCCCTCTCTCTGTGTGTGTCTCTTTGTCTCTGTTTCTCTTACACACACACTACACACACACACAAAGATGTGTTGTGTATATATACCAACTTCCCATGAAGAATGTAATCATTATGTATTGCAAATGTGTACTAATAAAATTTTTTAAAAAATATAGTGTCCAGAATGGCCCATTCTGTAGATAGAACTGTGGTTATACTTGGTCTGAACAAATGCCTTCCCTGGGAGTCAGTCCTCAGGGACTTGGATTCTGCTTGGGGTAGCTCCTTTCCCTGAGAAAGTTTGCTCATTCAGGTGTGTAAGGAGCTGCACCGCTTTGAGAAGCTGATGGAGTATTTCCGGAATGAGGACAGCAACATTGACTTCATGGTGAGGACGTGGCCGGGGGCAGGCACGTACCCAGTAAGGCTGTGCACGCCCTAAGGATGGGGCCGTGCTGACAGTTGTGGTGTCGTGCTTCCCCAGGTGGCCTGCATGCAGTTCATCAACATTGTGGTGCACTCTGTGGAGGACATGAACTTCCGGGTCCACCTGCAGTACGAGTTCACCAAGCTGGGGCTGGAGGAGTTCCTGCAGGTAAGCTGGCCAGTGACTGAGGTGAGGTACTTCGAGATAAAGGACCAACTTAGACGCCTCATAAAAGATGTTCCTCTTGCAAGAGCCTAGACCTGGATGCTTTTGAAACCTGCCTGGGACTCGGGTCCATCAGTAGAAGTGTCCCCCTCTAAGATGGCTGATAGCTCCTTGCAGACCTGAATGACTGATGAGGCCAGCAGCAGGAGGTCCCTGTGTGCTTCAGAAAGGGGGAGTGAAGGGTAACCACAACTAAGATTTCCCAGGATGCTCCCCCTGACCCTTTTGGCAGCCCCAATTACTACTATGCTTTTCTCCCAGAAGTCAAGGCACACAGAGAGTGAGAAGCTGCAGGTGCAAATCCAGGCATACCTCGACAACGTGTTTGATGTAGGGGGTTTGTTGGAGGATGCTGAGACCAAGAATGTGGCCCTGGAAAAGGTGGAGGAGCTGGAGGAGCATGTATCTCATGTATGTGGCCTTCTTTGCCTGCTGTGGAGGGTTGGGACATCTGAGTTCCAGAATCTTCTTTTTTTTTTTTTTTTGGTACCGGGAATTGAACTCAGGACCTTGCACTTGCTAGGCAGGCGCTTGTGCCACTGAGCTATATCTGCAGCCCTGAGTTCCAGAATCTTGAGCTGACCCATTTGCCTCCAGATTGGAAGGGTTTAGGACCCACAGGGGCTCTCGAGAGTGTGCTGTGGGCTGAGCTACTGAATATTCACCCATTGGAACACACATTGACCTCCAGGGCTGGGCTTGAGGTAACCATAGACTTGGGACAGATTGCTGTCTCCTGTCTTGTATCTGTTGCTTTTCATATGGTGTCAGACCCTGGGCCCGTGGCAGTGATTTGGGAAAAGCCACCTGACCAAATTGCCTTTGGCGCCTTGGAGGTTTGGGCCCAGATCTGACCATTCTGGTTATGCTGAGTGCTCACATTTTAGGGATAGTACTGAATCTGCCCTTCCCTTCCTGCAGCTCACAGAGAAGCTTCTAGACCTGGAGAATGAGAACATGATGCGGGTGGCAGAGCTAGAGAAGCAGCTGCTCCAGCGGGAGAAGGAGCTGGAGAACATCAAGGTATCAAGTAATCCCAGGAAGAGGCCCTGACTGACTGTGGGCTCCAGTGCCTCAGGACCTTGCTTCTCCCTCTTGGGTCATGTCAAGGCAAGGGGTGTGTGTGTGGAGGGGTCAGGGTTTTCTCACTGAGGTACACTGTCAGCCTTTTAAAAGTTTTTTCAAAAAATTTTGAGACACGGTCTCTCTAAATTGCCCAGGTGCTAGGCTCAAAATTGGAATCCTCCTGCATCAACCCGAGTTCTGGGATTACAAGCATGTGCCACCACTCCTAACTTTAAAGAAAAAATCTTGATTTACCCTTTAGGTACTCAGATAAGGTGGGCTGGGGATTTCACCCCATTTTTTATTTGGGGAGGGAAGCTGAAGCCACAGAGAAGAGGTGGGAATGGAGGAGGTATCCACGGCCACCTTTGGAGTCCAGTCCCGGCTGGTGCCTCCCATCTCACTCTGGGGCTCTCCCCTCACTGTGGTCCTCTGTCCCTGCTTTCTGAGCAGGGGCAGGGTAGCCCAGGTGCTCTGGCTGTTTGTTAGGTTGTCTACCAGGTATCCTAAGTCAGGAGGGTAAGTACACCTCATATTCAGTCTTTGTTCCCATGCCTACCTTTTCTTCCAGGGGAACACAGGCTGCCTCCATTGGGCCCAGCCCCTGCTAAGGGCGGTATCTGGGGCTGTAGAAAATAGAGAGATGGCTAAGACAGGGCCTGTCCATGGGGCTTCCAAGTGAGCGACAAATCAAGACCAAATGAAATAAGAGCATTGAGGCCCTGTGGAGAGAGCAGCTGTGTCAGACTGGCAGTGGCCAAAGAGTTTCACAGTTATCCTTTTCCCTGGCCCTTGAGGGGCCCATGCCGTGAGAACGGGTAGAGGGAAGAACTCAGAGTGCCTGGGAAGGCAGGTCGGCTCTTCTGCTCACCACTTCTGTTCTGCTGCACCAATTTCCCCTGGTCCCCACCTGGAATTCTGCTCCAAGTACCCTCACGAAGACCATAGTTGATTGTCCCTCAGGTAGGAATTATCACTCCTAGAGGTAAAGACTACGAGTCCACTGTTTCCTCAGTGGCACTGTCTGCTTGACAGGAGACATATGAGAACACAAGCCACCAGGTACACACCCTCCGGAGGCTCATTAAGGAGAAGGAAGAGGCCTTCCAGCGCCGATGCCACCTGGAACCAAGTGTCCGCGGCCTGGAGTCCATGGGAGAGGCCCTGGCCAGAGTAGGCCCTGCAGAGCTGAGTGAAGGTGGACCACCCTCTGACATGGACCTGCTGGCCCCTGGCACACCTGCTGAGGAGGCCCTTCCTCTGCCTCCACCCCCAGCTCCGCCCTTGCCGCCACCCCCACCGCCATTACCAGGTAACTGGGACTCCTGGTCTTTAGGGACAGCCTCACCGTGGAGCCAAAACTCTAGTAAGGGATCAGCTGGGAAATGGCATCATTTGAGGGCTGGAAGAATTTTAGGTCGGGGTGGGAGGGGTGAGGGAGGGTCCAGATCGAGGAAGCTCAGATTGCTAGCACAGGTGTGAGGGCAGCTGTAGCCTGCTCCTAAGTGCTCTCAAGACAGCAGAGGAGAGGTGCAGACCGGGCAGGAGAACTTGGTCAGAGACCAACACCAGCCCCTCATCAGGTAGGACTCCTGGGGGAAGCTTGAGCAGAGTTCACAAAGCCTGAGGGTCTTAAAGGAAAACAGGCAGAGGGATGGGAAGCCTAGGAAAAATCTTGTGACTCTGGTGCAATTTCTTCTTCCCCTAGACAAGTGTCCCCCAGCTCCACCTCTCCCAGGTGCTGCACCCTCTGTGGTCTTGACAGTGGGCTTGTCTGGTGAGTGTCTCCAAGGCTCTGGGTATGGCTAGTGGGTTCAGGGGAGTATGCCCTTGGTCCCTGCCTCACTCACCCTATTTCCAAACCAGCCATTCGCATTAAGAAACCTATCAAGACCAAGTTCCGGCTACCCGTCTTCAACTGGACAGCACTGAAACCCAATCAGATCAGTGGCACTGTCTTTAGTGAACTTGATGATGAGAAGATTTTGGAGGTGACAGGGTCTGGGGCCCAGAGAGGTGGGCTTGGGGGCTGGGATCCAAGTTGCACCTTTTAGCCAGATTCTCTGGACTTGGAAAAGTCCAGTGTCAGCTTTGAGAGTCAGAGCTGGCACCATGCTGGGCATAACACCAGTCAGTCCTCTCATAGTGTGAAGCTGTAGCATTTTCCCTTGTCTGCTCCTGGTAGGACTTGGACCTGGACAAGTTTGAGGAATTGTTTAAGACAAAAGCACAGGGCCCTGCACTTGACCTCATCTGCTCCAAGAACAAGACAGCACAAAAGGCTGCCAGCAAAGTGACCCTATTGGAAGCCAACCGTGCCAAGAACCTGGCCATCACTCTTCGCAAGGCTGGCCGCTCCGCAGAGGAGATCTGCAGGGCCATCCACACGTGAGGCTCCTACTTACCTGGCCCTGGTCCCCAGCCAGTTGGCAGCCCAGTTCTCCACCCAGAAGCCTGGCTTTCCCTAAATTCTAGTGCTCCTGATGGGAATCCATCACACCCCTCAGCCATCCACTGGCATGACCAGGAGTGACTGGGTACCGGGCAGCATTGTATGAGGTGCTAGAGATCCACCCTCACCTTACCCAAGGGAGCCCCTAGACTAGGGAGGATGGTGCAGCACACTGAGTAATGACACCAAGCTGGCAGAGTATAGGAGGTGAGAGCCACAGGACTGAGCGAGGTGATCAAGGTGGGCTTCCCAGAACAAGTACTTCTCAACTGGGTCTGAGGAAGTGCACGTTAGCCCAGTTCAGGGCTCAGAGGGAGGAGTGTGGTGCCTTGGATACTGAAAATAGAATCTGGCTTTAGTGTAGGAAGGGAAGTAGGAGAGACAGGGCGGAGAGGTGGGCAGAAGTCCTACAGGTACTTCGTCCTGCTTAGGTACTTGGACCTCACCATAGATGAAGAGGAGAGACATCACCAGGCAGCATGGAGGTCCCCAGAACCAGCTCCAGATATCTTCTCTCCTACACAGGTTTGACCTGCAGACACTACCTGTGGACTTTGTGGAGTGCTTGATGCGCTTCCTGCCCACAGAGGCTGAGGTGAAGCTGCTGCGGCAATATGAGCGTGAGCGGCAGCCCCTGGAGGAGCTGGCAGCCGAGGACCGCTTCATGCTGCTCTTCAGCAAGGTGGAGCGGCTGACCCAGCGAATGGCTGGCATGGCCTTCCTGGGCAACTTTCAGGACAACCTGCAGATGCTCACACCGGTACAGCTCTCGTCTGAATCCCTCCCCTGAACTGTGGTTCTCTGATGCTGCCCCTTCCACCTCTGTCCTTCCAGCCCCTCCCTCACTTTACCCCATTGGCCAGCCTGGCTGACGGAGGTGTCATCTCTTCTTCCAGCAACTCAATGCCATCATCGCAGCCTCTGCCTCTGTCAAGTCCTCACAGAAGCTGAAGCAGATGCTGGAGGTGGGGAAGAGTGGCTGGGGTACTGGTGGTTCCTAGGTCCTGCTGAGCGACTGGGGCAATAAGGAGAGGAGCAGGACCTCGGATGTGGCCTGACCTCCCCCACGCATCTTTTGGACAGATCATACTTGCTCTGGGGAACTACATGAACAGCAGCAAGCGAGGAGCTGTGTATGGCTTCAAACTCCAAAGCCTGGATCTGGTAAGGTGGTGGGGGCAGCTTGGGCAGGAAGCCTAGGGGCAGTGCTGGTAAAGCCGGCATGTTAACTCTCTGGCACTGTCCCTCTTCCTCTCCCTCCCAGCTGCTGGACACAAAGTCCACTGACCGGAAGATGACACTGCTGCATTTCATTGCCTTGACGGTGAAGGAAAAATACCCAGACCTGACCAACTTCTGGCATGAGCTACACTTCGTGGAGAAAGCTGCAGCGGGTAAGGAGAGCTTGGCTAGGTATGCCTGTTCTCATGTCCAGCCTAGGACAGTCCCAAGAAACTGAGGAGAGGGAACACTTGGGTCCATTTCGCTGACTTTTGGCTTCTGCTTCAAAGCTTTCCACTAGAGCCATGCATGAGCAAGGGCTGCCATGGAGGGAGCCCTCCAAGGGACACTAGGCCCAGCCCAGCCCTTCCCAGCAAGGTGCCACGGGAGCAGGGAGAGCTCTTTACTCCCAACCCCTTCAAGCTCACTCAGAAAGACTGTTTCCTACATGTGTGCAAAGTATTTAGAAAAGCCATAAAGCCCTTTATAGACAGAAGATAGCTGTTATTTCTGCCCTGGCCACGAAACTGGGACAGGCCTGAGACAGCTCCACTTTGAAGACCAGCAGCCTCTGTGGCTTCCCTTCTGGGTCTTGTTCTTTGGGGCTGAGAGCTCACAGCTTCTACTTCTTTCCCTGCCACTGTGGGAGCCTCGGCTGCCTGATACACACTTTGCTCCCACACGGTGTGACCACCTGCCGAGCAAGAGGGCGAATTTGCTGTAGCCCTGGGCTGGGAGGTGGGCATGTCACCTGCTGGGCAGGCCTCAAACGGGCCTCTGGTGACCACAGTGTCCCTGGAGAATGTGCTGCTAGATGTGAAGGAGCTGGGCCGGGGCATGGAGCTGATCCGGCGGGAATGCAGCATTCATGACAACAGCGTCCTTCGGAGCTTCCTCAGCACCAATGAAGGCAAACTGGACAAGCTCCAGCGTGATGCCAAGACAGCGGAGGCAAGCAAGGGGTGGAGGAAGGGGCGGGAGCAGCCTGGGCCAAGCACCAGGCCTGTCTACGTGGGCCTGCCTCAGGTTCTTTATCAGGCAGCAGACCAACTAGTGTGGGGAATAAGGACTTGGTGGGGGTGGTGACTGCCTCTGGAGACACGTGCTCTTCAGAGCTTTGGGGACCCTGCATCCTGTCCAGCTCCCAGGGCCTTAGTGGTTGGTTTCCTCTCTTCAGCCCTGGGCTGTTTTTGGTGGCCCTTGTGTCCCTGGTGTGGGAGCTGGGCTTCGACTTCGTGCCAGCCTGAGCCCTTCTCCTGCCCCTTTCTCAGGAAGCCTACAATGCAGTTGTGTGCTACTTTGGTGAGAGTCCCAAGACCACACCTCCTTCTGTATTCTTCCCAGTATTTGTCCGATTCATTCGTTCCTATAAGGTAAGCTGGAGAGAGGATTTAAAGAGGAGTTAGGCTGACAGAAAGCTGGTTGGGGCACTGGTTGGTCTTGGGCTTCAAGTCTGGGCCTTTTCCAACTCCTCTGAGTCCTGGGGAGGAGCAATGGATGCTGGCGACAGGCCTCTTAGCTGTGAACTGGTGGGCAGGGTGGGGGCCCAGCCCCTTCCTGTCATTGTTAGGGGCAGGAAGTGCCCCCTCCAGAGGGTGGCCACCTGGGGTTAGCTGGTCCCATTGCCACCCACTCTTCCATCCTCAGTGTCAGCCCCTCCCCTCGCAGCCTGTGTAAGCCTCAGCCCCATCTATGGTTCTTAGGAAGCAGAACAAGAGAATGAAGCCCGCAAGAAGCAGGAGGAGGTAATGCGGGAGAAGCAGCTGGCTCAGGAGGCCAAGAAGCTGGATGCCAAGGTGGGTGGACCAATAGTGGGCCTGGGAGGAGCACAGAGCTAGAGAAGTAGAAAGCTGGAAAAGACAGATCCACAGGAGGCCTAAAGGCTTGAGTCCAAGGGGGTGGGGAGCAGGGCTGGGGGGCGGATTCCTAGCAGTATGCAAATGGATGTCCAGGTTGAGGGATCAAGTTAGTGATGATTCCTTCCCCCTTCAAAGACCCCATCCCAGCGCAACAAGTGGCAACAGCAGGAGCTAATTGCAGAGTTGAGGCGGCGCCAGGCTAAAGAGCACCGGCCTGTTTACGAGGGGAAGGATGGTACCATTGAAGACATCATCACAGGTATGGATGGCCCTTTCCCCTCCCTGGGACCTGGCTGTTAGGCCCAGCCTAATCGCCTTGGGCCCTACTCCCACCCAACCCACCATGAGGCCTCACCACTCTCTCTCTCCTGGGCCACAGTGCTGAAGAGTGTCCCTTTTACGGCCCGTACTGCCAAGCGGGGCTCACGCTTCTTCTGCGATGCAGCCCACCATGATGAGTCAAACTGTTAACCACCAGGGCTGGGGTCCCTGACAGGTACTGGGCACCACAGCTGCCCCTCTGCATGGCCACTTCCCCAGAGTCCTGCTGGAGCTCATGGGCACCCCCGATGCATGACTTGGAATCATCCTCTGGTGATGGGCATACCTACTTCTGCATGCTCCATGCTCCAGGAAGCATGGCTTATCCCCTGCATGTGCTCTCAGGGAAGTGGCATCTCTCCCACTAATGCTGTCATGGCTTCTACTAAGAGTCAGGCTAGGGAGCTGCAGACCAGGGTTGGGGGCTATTCCAGCACAGCCAGGACCAGGCCTATGGTTTTGATCACCTGAGGTATCCTGAGTCCCTTACCTTCCTCAGAGTTCCTTCTGAGAGCTCTGGCAGTAGCTGACGCCCAGGAACAGTCAGGTGTTCCTTGATCTCTGCTTCCTGACATCGAGGGCCTCTTTCCAGCTACAGATATTCCCACGTCTGCCCTGTCTCCTGTAGCCTCTAGTCTTCCTCAGTCCGCTTCCTGGTTGATCCTCTCTGCCCTACTGTGGCCACTCTTGAAGGCACGGTCCTGCTTAGCTGCCCTGTCCTTCCCACAGGCCTGCACTGCCAGCCCATGGTTGTTCGCCACCAGACCAGGAGTGCTGCACCACCAAGTGGCCCCCCTCGGGCCCCAGGCCCCCACTGAGACTCTTGGAGGCAGAAGTGCTTCAGCCCTCAGCCCTGCAAGTCCAGCCAGTGGACCTGAAGCCAGAGGCACAGCAGAAGCCCACGCTGTGTGCTCAGCTGTGCCACCTCAGCTCTCAGGCTGGGTCTTAGCCTGTGCCACTGTGAGCACGGGTTTATCGGGCCCTGGCACTTTCCTTGTGCCTCCAATACTGCACTTTGCCCCCACAGTCAGCATCATTTCCTGAAGGGTCACCAAGAATCAGCTGAGGGCTTGGGAAAAACATTTCTAGCTTTAGCCCACCCAGGGGCACCTAGGATTCTCCTAGAGCCCAACAGAGGAGAGGAGAAAGCCTCTCTCCCTGCTTTTTCTCCCTGTCTTGTTGCAGTCTTGTGGGCAGCCCTGGTCTAGAAGTATCCAGGCTTAAGGGGCCTGGCACCCTGCCATCTCGGATGTTTCTTACCAGAAGGGAGGCCCTTCTCTGCTAGGCCCAACCACCTGCACCCTTTTGATAAGGGTAGAGGAGCACTTCCCAGCCTACTGTCCCCCTGTCTGTTCCAGCCTAGGTGGATGCTGGCCTTACTGTGGTGGGCTGGAGAGCAAAGGCTCTCTCCACACTGGCCCCAAGACCACTACAGAAGGGCGTACCAACACTTCAGCTCCTTTCCGGAGCTAGGGGGTTTTTTGGTGGAGGGAAGGAAGCATGATCCTCACAGACCATTGGTTCAGTTCCCTGCCAGTTTCTTCTCAGTCCCTGGAAGGAAATACTGGGGCCACCTGTTTTTGTACATGTTCCCTTTTCTCTTGTATATAAACCCCATCCTTCTCTCTCTCAACAAAAGCTTGAAGCACCAGGCTGTGTCTCCTCTTTCTAGGCTAAGGGGAGGCTAAGTTGGTTGTGGGGACAGAAACCTCCGTTTTGGAGAAGATGAGCTCAGAAGCCTGGGGAAGAAGCTGACTGGGTGGTCTCTGACCACACAAAGGGAGCCGGCCTACGTGAGAAACGAGTGCCCCCTCCTGGCCATCTGTTTCCCTGTTCTGGCCCAGCCTGCCCCAGCAGCAAATGAAGACAAAAGTCACTGGCCATGTTATAAATATTATTTAAAAAACAAAAAACACACGTACATTGGGTCCCAGGGCTGGAGGAAGCAGTGGTGGAGCCCCAGGGCAGGCAGGAGCAGGCACTGGTGCTAGAGGAAGAGGACCCTGCCCTCCACCACCCAGGCTGTGTCCACCAGCCTGTCTCTTTCCTGGAGACCCCTGCACTCACACTGTACCTGTTGGCATAACCCACCCCATGTGACGCAGACCACCTGTCTCTGGTCTGGGGCTGAGGGAAGGACTGCACTAGTTGTCCAGGAATCAGGGGACCCTTAACACCAAAGCAAACCTTGAGAGGTGCCAACAGTGGTGTTGGGGTGAGGTTACTTTAGGAAAAGTGGACACAGACCAGATGAAGGAAAGAGTCTGAGGCACAGAGGGCGGCCCAGGAGCCACTGCCTCACACAGGCCTGGTCCAGGGCAGAGAGCAGCTTGTCGGGTCACTGATGGTCATCCAGCTGCTGCAGGAGCGTCCGCCGCCGCCTCTCCAGCTCCCCCTCGCTCAGCTCGCTTTCTGATGTGTCCCAGCCTGTCTGTTGAACAAAGGCACGGCTCACCCCAAGTTCCCGGGACAGAGCAATGCCTGGCCAGCACCGGGCCCTGCCTCTCACCTTCTCCTTCTTAACTCTAAAGCCTGGGGAGCGGTTAGGGAGCTCCGCCTGCCGAAGGTCCCTGTCCTTGTCCTGTTCTTGTTCTTTCTCTTCACTCTCCTTGCCAGCCTTCTCCTCAGGGTCAGTTTCACTCTCAGCACTGTTCTGCAAGAGTCCAAAGCATACCTCAGCTGCTGTGAAGGACAGCTGGGGGGCCAGTGAACAGAGCCCACAAAATAGCAGGGCCCTGGGCAGAGTTTCTCCCCTACTCACCGACTTGTGTCTCCTCTTCTTAGTTTTCTTTTTTGGTTTCTTGGCTTTCCGAAGGCCATGATCTGGAGATAGAAAAGTGCTGATTAAATCTCAAAGGAAAAAACAGGACTCATCCTCTTCCCTGCCCCAGCCCTCTCTGTTCATTCTTTTTTTTTTTGGTTTTTCTCCGCTACCGGGAACCAAACTCACGACCTTGCGCTTGCCAGACAGGCGCTTTTGCTGCTGAGCTAAATCCCCAGCCCCTCTGTTCATTCTTTACAGACAAGGGCTCATGGTCTAAGAGAGCAGTCTGGGAAAGGCTCAATGCAGTTTCTCTTCTTTTTTCCAAGTCTCTTGCCTGGGCAAGGACAGGAAGTTCTTAGACTCCCAAGTCAGACTTTGTAATCTAGAGTGACAACTAACTGCTCACCTGATTGAAGGAGAAGGTGGGAGGATGGGGAGCCCTGTCCTCTAAGGGCAGCACCCCCACTTTCCACTGAATCAAGTGAAGATGAGGGCTCAGAACCAGACTCTGAGGGGTTTCGCCGTTTCCGCTTAGGAGGCCGGAGGGATGGTGGGGGCAGCTCCTCCTCTTCTGACTCGGAGCCCTAGGTGGGTCAGCATGTACCAGTCAAGTACAGAGGGTTCTCTGACCTTCAGACCTCTTGTCTGGCAATTGGGGACAGAACAGAGGGGATAGGAAGACCGAGGGCCAGAGGAATTCTTACATCTTCTAGGGGTAGTAATAGAAGGAAAAACAAAGTACTTATTTCCCCAGAGCAATCCAGCTTCCCCCCATATTCCTTCTACCCGCCAACTCACTGAAGGTGAGTGAGAACGCTTGCGATGGTGCTTCCTGCCCTTTCTGCCATGCTTTCGGCCTTTGGTGTGGAGGTGCTGGCATTCGGTCTGCTGGAGACAATGGTGAGAGGTGAGGGCAACATCGGCCTTAGCCTCAGGGAGAACCCTGTCTCTCTGACTCAAGTAGAGCCTCCTGCCTGTCCAGGGCCCCTCAGCCTTCCTCTTCTTAGCTGGCCAGGTAAAGGTAAAGGAGGCCCCTGGGATGAGAAGCCATTGAGGACTCTGTTAAACTGGTCTACAAGGTTCAAATGCCTGGGATGGATCTTGAGGGCGAGAAGCTCACTCACTTCCAACACCTGCAGGAATTCCCGGAAGAGCCGGATCCGTTCCGACTCCAGGGTGATCTGCTCAAAGGCTGAGTCGCACACAAAGCGCTCACGGACCTTGAACGGGGAGAGCACTGCTGATGAGACCAGGCCCCGCCTGGCTCAGGTTGGACACCGCCACGAGCACAGGGCAGGGCTGGGGCAGTGGAAAGAAGGGAACTGGAGCCGGCCCAGGGCTGTCTGTGACGGGGGTGGGCCCGCAGTGGTGGAGAAGCTCCGCTGCCCTCAGGCTTGAGGGTGACGGGCGCCAGGCTGCGCTCCTGACCTCTTCCCACGTCGTGCCCAGCTCCAGAGCAGGCACAGCCTGCCTCAGCATGCTTCGAAAGGCAGCTTCCCTGCGCCGCATCCTTCGTGCCTCCTCCTTTTCTCGCTCCCTCTCCCGTGCCTCTGCTTTCTCCAGCAGCTGAGGGCAGAAAAGACACAGAACAGGATCACCCAAAAGGGTGGGTGTCTAGGACCTGCTTCCTCATACTGAGAGGTAAGAGGCTGAGGTCTGGACTTTGCCATCATCCCCCAAACCCAAGGTACAGTCAATGGGGCAGTGAGTAAGCAGGAAAGGAATAAGGCACTGGGATGAGTTTGAGAAAGAGCCCACCCTACCCAGCCCCTCACACTATTGAAGGTCAGCTTGATGTTGCCTGCGTCCAGCGCAGCAGCCCTCTTGTCAAAGCTTATGACGTGGGCGAAGTCCTCAAAGGCTGTGTTCACCTCCACACAGAAGCCCCGGTCCTGTGGGCACAGTGGCGCATGAAGCAGGGAGCAGCATGGGCCTGAGGGGGGCCCGTGGCTGATAGGCAGACGGGTCACATGAGGCTGACACCTCAGAAACCACTGTCTAGGTCCTCTGACAAGCCCCATGCCTGCCTCTGGTCTGGATGTCACATGGAGTTGAAGGGGTTGAAAGGTGTCTCCAGATGTGCTGACTGAAGCCTGAGTTTCTTAGTTAGCTCTTTGTTTCTTTGGCTTAAAGCTGTGGCCCCAGCTAGGCCTTCCTGCTGCTCAGGAAAGCTTCCATGCATTCTCTATCCACATCTGCTGCTACCTGCCCTCTGGCTGTATTTGCTGAGCAATTACTCAGTACCAGATACCCTGCTGAGTGCTTCACACACACTTTTAACCCTCCTAGTTCTCATTTAAGAACAGGCCTACCAGGCAAGGAGATGCATGCCTGTAACCCCAGCACTTGGGAGGCTGAAGCAGGGCTGCTCCAAGTTTGAGGCCAGCCTTCACTACATAGTGAGATCCTGTTTCCAAAAAAACCCAGGAAAAACAAAATAGTCTGAACATCCTAGTTTTACGTAAAAGATACAAGAATACCTGCCTGAGGTCTTATAGCTACACCTGGGCAAAAAGATCTGCCCCAGGTCTTTCTAACCCCAAAGCCTGTACTTTCAAGCACTATGCTTACACAGATCACTTAGTCCAGAGGAGAAATGGGGGCCATCATGTTCAACTCCTCAGCAATATTCAAAATGTGTCCCACTCTAAGTACAGTGGCCAGCCTCCATGTGTCTCACCTAAGCCTCACAGCACCCACTTGGAGTGGAGTTTCAGGAGCGTGATCTTGACTCCTGTTTTGTTTTTTTTTGTTGTTGTTTTTCTGGTACTGGGGATCAAACTCACGACCTTGCGCTTGCCGGGCAGGTGCTGTGCCACTGAGCTAAATCCCCAGCCCCCAGAGGAGCGTGATCTTGCATGGTCCCCAATGAGGTAAGTAGTAGGTGGAGCTCCTGGTGTTCAAGTCAGCTGGGGTACAGCAAGATTCACTCCTCTCTCTATACAGAGCTACAGCTTCTCTGGCCTTCTTGCTGATCCCTCTCCAACACCCACCTCCTCTGAAATGAAGGCTTCAATCTCATCCTCTTTGCTGCACTTTCTGCCAAACATACTTGTTCTACCACAAACACCCTTTGCACCCTGCTCTCACCTTCTCAACCTAACTACCTCTGCTGCTCCCCCATAGTTTTAAAATTTCTTGAAGCACAAAGAAAAGGAAATAAACATTTGTTGAGAGGCTGCTATAAGCATGACGCTTTCCAAATGTTATTCTCACAATCTTGCAAATGGACTGTCCCCAATTTACGGAATAGGAAACTGGCTCAGAGACACTGTAATTTAAGGAGGTCTCAGAGCCAATAGACAGCCAGGAGTTACCTTACTGTGAAATGTGTGCTGCCCCAAAGCCGTTACCTTCTTGGTCACCGCTCTCCCAGAAGTTGCTCGTGTACCAACCAAAGCCATGGGCTTCTGCTTGGTCCTCACTCCTCTGGGCTCCAGCACGTCTGCTGTCTAATGCTTCCACACACCCCTCTCTAGGGCCCCTATCTTTCTGACTTCTGTCACTTTTCCTATATGTGCATGTTTCTCAGAACAGTTGTTTTGCCACTACTGACCTACATTTTCCCTCTGCTGATTTCCAGACCTATACTAGGCTATCTTACAGATACTTAAACCTACCACAAAAGAATGCACTTCTCATGAGCCCCACACACAGGCCCCTATAGATGAGAGGTACTACCAGGTCCATCTGTCCTGCAAAGGGAGAAGCCCAAACGGAGGAATAGGAAGCAGCTGTCTCAAACAGCTTCTTAGGTGGTGCAGGGGGACAGGACTCTGCAGGCCAGCTGGTGGTACAACCCACTTTATGACTAAACCACCCAATAAAATTTAGCTGTCCTGGGATTAGGTATTTCTAGTTTGTATACTTAACCTGTTTAAAAGATGACAGTTGCTCCTTAGAATAACTGGAAGCCCTGTCTCATGCAGCCCTGCTCTTCCTGTTTAGTCCTGACCAGTGATCCCGGCATCTACTGTCCTGCTCCCTGCACCTCACTCTTTCCCCTTCCTTCAACTTCACAAAACAACCTGGCAACCACTTTAGTGACTATTCATTGGTTTTAAAGTTTGTTTTTTAACAAGAGAAATTTTTCAGTAAAAATCTTAGCACCTTAATGTGTAAAGGAGATGTAAGCACCTCCACTTGAAAATAGGATCATAAAATCCCCTTAAACCCAGTCCCTACCCTGTGCTTATCTCCGGGCAACTGCGGCTTCTCAAGCACAGCTCACTCTCCTCACCTGCCATCCCCACTGCCCCTCACCTAACTGCAGCAGCCACCTAACTGCTCTTCCTGCCTAACCTCTGCACCCCTCTAAACCTCTGCTGCTCTCATTTTTGTACCAAGTAGCCCTGGATGAGTCAGGAGAGAATGACTAAATCTCCAAGTATATTTAAGTTACCTGCCCTCTCACTTTTATTGAAGCTTCAAGAACTGTTGACCTACCACCACCACCACCTCCTCAAAAAACACGAACACTGCAGTCTTGCACATGCTACTGCACACTGGCCAGTAGCTTTTCCAAAATGCCATCTGATGTTATCATTACTTACAGGATAAAAATGCAAATTTTTTCCTTTTTCTGTTGTTTTTTTGAGACAGGGTCTCACTATATAGTTCAGGCTGGCCTCAAACTCAAGTCGATCCTCCTGCCTCGGCCTTCTGAACGCTGGCTCAGGTTGGATACTGCCACGAGCACAGGGGAGGGCTGGGGCAGTGGAAAGAAGGGAACTGGAGCTGGCCCAGGACTACAGGCATGCACCACCATGCATGGCCCAAATTTCTTATTTTAGCACTCAAGGTACTACTACACTGGGTATGTGGTTCCAAAGAAACAGAAAACATCTTTCCTAATGGTAATTTTGTAAATGTTAAATTTTTATTATACAGGCAGGTGAGATGGGACCTTCCTAATTTTATTCTTAAGTCCCTCAACTCAGCTACTAAATTATGTTCCTCTGTAACTAAGTGTCCTCTGGTGGAATACTCTTATTTTTTGGATGAGGAAACGGAGGCTCATAAAGGTTAAGTGGCCTGTATGAGATCGTAAAACTAGTAACGGGTTCATCTGGACTTTTACCCTGTACAGTCTGCAAGTCCTGCCACTCTAGTAGACTGTTTCCTCAAATACATTAGTATGTTCTTTACTTCTATTAGAAAATGGGCTTTCTCCCTGTTTTTTGTTTTTGCTTCTTTTTCCCTTTTGGAATACAAAGCGGGAGCTTTGTATTTTTTACTTGCTTACTCATCTTTTCTAACTTTTAATTCCTTGAGACAGGGCCTTGCTGTAATTCAAGCTGGCCTTGAACTCACTCTGCAGGCCAAGTGGGTCTTAATATCATGGTGATCCTCCTGCCTCAGCCTCCTGAGTGCTGGGATTACATGTGTGTGCCACCACACTCAGTTTGTCTTTTCTAACTGTGATAAGACAGGGACACAGAACTGTTTCTCCACTGTAAGAAATGTGACAGTGCACATGGGATAGTGAATGCCAGCAGACACTTGCTCTAATACTAAAAGCAATAAGGTCAGGAAAGAATGACATCCTTTTAGAGGGCAGTGGCATTTCAGCCGGAGCCCAGAGAATGCTTTACAAAACCAGCCCAAAGCTGCCAAGTAATCTAAATTGACAAAGAGATGCTGGAAAAACAGATTTTTATATGAAATCTCCTGATATAAAAATACTAACAGTGGCCCAGCATGGTGGCACATGTCTATAATCCCAGCACCCAGGAGGCTGAGGCAGGAGGATCACTGAGTTGTAGGCCAGGCTAGCCTACACAGTGAGTTCAAGGCTAGCCAGGACTACATAGCGAGACGCTGTCTCATAAATAAATTAAAACATATATATATATATATATATATATATATATATATGTATATATATGCATACAATAAATTCCATTTTTCTAAAGCAGTATAGGCTAGAAAGAACATCTATAGGCTATCAGCTTATAAACAGCTATACTTCTTGCTTCTCAAACCTGCCGTGACCTTTGTACTCTGCAACCTCTATTTACTTCTGTAGTACCTTTATGCCCAGAACATTCCACCCCTTTTCACCTACTCCTGAGAAGTTCAAGTTTATCAATCCTTCTGATTTTTGTCAGCAGTAACCCTTGATCCCTGCACTCCTACTGGGCCACACACTCCTACGAGCAGAAACTGTGGCTTATTACTGTGCCCCTGGGAGTACACAGGTAAGGCCCACAAGTGGTATCTACTGAGCAAGCGGCCATCTCCTACAGAATGGGAATAGGACTTATCGGGGAGGCCTATCCAAGAAGCATGGCTCCCACCCAGCCAGCATCCATCCATAACCCTGATCCTCCTCACCTTAAGAATATCCTTTATGATCTTCTTCTCATCATGGAATCGAGCTTTCAACTCCTCCACATAGAACTTGAATAAGTCCAGAGGGGTGGAGCCTGCAGGGAGGGAGGGAGGGGGGCCTGGCGGGTGGCAGCTTCCCAAGGCCTGGGGTAGGATCGAGGACAGGACCAGGGTGTGGGGGTGCAGAGAGGTCGGCAGGGCAGGAAGCCAGACCAGTGAAGGAGAGCCTGGCTGCCTTACCCGGCTGGCCCAGCATGTTGGCAAACCGGATGTCAGTGCTGACTGCGGGGTACAACTCCATCCAGGTGGACATGGAGTGCAGCTGCCCTGTCTCATGCAGCTCGTCCAGGAAGGTCTGAGCAGGGAGATGAAAGTGATAGGGAGAGTGAGACAGAGCCAGGGACTGGGGCAGAAGAGAAGACTGGCAGAGGGACAGGCAGGAACAATCCAGACAGGAAATCCAGGCAAGGGAGGCCAATGCGGAGGAAAAGAACACTAGAGAGGGAGAGAATGTAAATAGAGGGATACAACAAAAAATGAGAATAAGCCAGTCTGGGAGGGAATAAAGCAGACACCTGCCAGCAGCAAGTCTTCTATGACTTGGCTTCAACTTCTTGACATGCTCAGCCAAGTCACCCCCACAGTGCCACCACTACTGCCACTCCCAAGCTGGGGGATAAGGAAATACACATGGCTCGGCCACCACACCATGCCTATGCGTCTGGTCTCCCTACAGGAGTAGAGACCGAGCTAAGCGGACACAGCAGCAGCAGAATTGCAGGCAGAGAGGCCTTGTGGAGCTTGGACAGTGCTGGGGAAAGGGCAGGCAGCCTAATCCAGAGGCAAGGCACACATGAAGAGGCTGTGGTCTGGGGCAGGGCCAAGCTCTGGTCCCCAAGTACTGTGAAGATACCTGGAAGGCCTCCCGGTTCTTGCGTTGCTGTCGACGCTCCCGAAGTCGGGCCCGTTCCCGCTCTTCCTCCTCCTCCCTCTCCAAAGCTCGGATGTGCTCCTCAAAGCAGATCAGAGCATCTTCCTTGTCCATGTCTACAGGCAGAGAGAAAGTTCAGCAGGCACCATGAACAAGGCACCCTCTTAAGATTCTAGAACCCCTTGTGTCTGAAGGATTCCATCCCCATAAAATTAGTGGAGAAAGGGAGAGGGATCTGTGGGAGCAGCTGCTGCCTTGGTTGTTGAGTAAAGGGTCACTGTACTAGAAGAAAGCAACAAGTACTCAGCTCTGGTGAATTCAATTACTAAAAGCCAGCACATGATACTTGTTATCTCAGGATCTGAGATTTTACATCTTAGGAAATCAGAAGTTGGGTTTTGATGCAACTTCAAAAGGTAAATTTCTCCTATCATCAGTAATCACAAGTCAGCAATTTTAACATATTTGACCAGTTAGAGCCCATGGTGTTTTGACCATTTAAAACCATAATCACATGAACTGTACCTATCATCACCATTATCTCCAGGACTTCTGATTCCTATCACAGAGGTGTTCTGCCAAGAACACATCAGTCCAGGGCAACAAAGGAACCCAGAGGGAAAGGGTGTCCTGAACATTCTGGGAACCCGAAAGTCTACGGAGGTACAGTGACTCAGTGTTCGAGACTTCTAGGATGGGCAGGAGGTGCAGGAGAGTGATATGAGGTAGGCTCTGGGGGGCCAAAGAAAAGGGACAGATGGGAGTGGGGACCTAGGCTTACTCTGCAGCTGATGGTCTTGAGCAAAGCTGGGGTTATCCATGAGGTACTGCTGGGCCTGGGACCAGGTAGTTTGGAAGTTAACACTACTCATCCCATCCAGGATGCTCTTCAGGGCCTGGATATTGCGGCGCCGAAGCTGCTTGGCTTGTTCCTGGGAAGCCATGGGATCAGGGTGAGGTGGGACAGGCCAGATGTACCCAAATGGGCCTGGCAGAGGATATGGGAAAATGGGATAGCTACAGAACCCTAGGAGGAAGGCAAGATTTGGAAAGCGAGGAAGCACAAGCCTCTCAAGACTCCCCCTGGAAAATAGGCCCAGGGCAGAAATGAGATATACAAGTGCCACACCAGGTTCCAAGTCAAAAGCTTGGACATGGGGGGGTGTTGAAAGGAGTGGCCAGGGTCCATAAGGAAGCAAAGACAAAGACAGTTCAGGATAAGACTGGGGCTAAAGGATCTGGCCCACTGACCATTACCTTCTCCTTCTTGGCCAGGAAGAAGAGGACATCATCATAAACCTCTTTTCGGTCCCTCTCGGGGACCACAGCCCAGACCTCCAGCTCCCCAAAGGTCTGTTCCGCCCGCCTGTGGAGCACATGGGCTGTGAATAGGCAGGCAGAGAACAGACCCCTGAGTTTTTGTGTTCTCGGGATTCCCAGGTCCCACCCAGCTCAGCTCCCTGACCGGTAGCGGGTGGTGGAAGTCATGCGTTCATGCTGCTCCAGAAAATGCTGCAGGGTCTGCTTGGCTTCCTTGGCTCTCAGCCGGGCCTCTTCCTTTTCCTCCTTCTCCCTCTGTGCCTTGTAGGCGTTGAATGCTTGCTTTTTCTCACTGAGTTTGGGCAAGGCACTGGGGTAGAAAGGATAGGAGTAGGGTAGGACAGAGATAAGTCAGCCTACTCCATGTGCATACCCCACAAAATAGGATCACAGGACACTGGGGAAGGGTCTCCACAGAGCTGAGTGGAGGATCCATGCATGGGTTGAGCACACAGATGTCTGCAGTATGGGTAGGAGAGAGGCAATGGGGGGAAAGAGCTGTAGCCTCAAGACACTGCTAACACTGAGTCCTTTGCTTTGGGGTCTCAAGGTGCCATCGGATCTCTGCCCTATTCATCAGGCCTTTCTTTCCCCCAATTGATTAAATTCAATCCAAAAAGCAGTTATTGAATCTCACATCAGATACCTTCCATTTCTTATCCTAGAGGCCTTTCAGTTTCTCCTCCTGTATCCCATGACAGTCTACTACTTTCCTAACTTCAGCCCCCATGAGCCTCAGTGATGAGCTGGGATTTCTCAGATGGCCCAGGTACCCTCATGAACAAGGCCTGGCTGCCTCTGCCCAGGCCTACCTGTAACGAGGGTCGGTGACCACCATCTTCATGGCCTGCTCCCACGAGGCGTTGGAGGGGACAGCCTAGAATGTAGCAGGCAGGGGTCATGGGGCCTGCCCACCTCCAGCCCCCTCCATGCCTTTCCTGGGAGTCCCACCCTCAGCACCTTGTCCCTCAGCAGCTCCTTGAATGCCTGCTTTGCCTTCTCCCGGTTGCTCCAGCTGAGGCCAGACCTCTCTGGTTCTGGCTTCGATTCCTCCTCCTCCTGCTGTGGTAGCTGATGCTGTCCAGCAGAACTGGGGGCAGATGGGACTGAGCTACAGGGCTCCCAGCCAGCACTGTTTTTCAATGTCCTGCACTTTCAACAACACATCACCCCTCCTTGCTTCCCAGGGTAGTCTCTTTCTGCCCTCCAAAGGTCATGCCTAGATCTACACGCCCCTCCTGGGAGGCTGGCGGAGGATGAGGGACGAGCCAGGCTGACAGCCTGAGGCCCACATGTGGAATGTCATGGGGGCAGCCCTCACCTGCTGGGGCCTTCCTCCACCTGCTGCAGGAACACCTGCTCCAGGGGCTGCACAGCCTCCGACACATCACAGTCTTCACTTCCATCTGGCTCAAGTTCCCCTGGGGTAGGGCCAGGAGGTACAGGTGGGGGATCAGGCTGTGGCTGAGGAGGCTGTGGCTGTAGTGTCTGAGGCTGCTGTTTCCTGCAGGCAAGCCAGAAGACAGTGTTAGTGTAGGGACTGAGAAGAGCAAGGGGTGAGTAGTTTCTCTAGCCAAAGCAGATGACCCCATGAGGAGACTGACAGCTGACTCCTCCTGTAGAGTGAGGATAATGGATCTATCACCCACTCCCACCGAGTTTAGATGGATGGGTGGGCAAGTCACTCACCCTGCAGTCTCTTGTTTGGCTACAGCTGCAATAAGAAAAGGCAAGACAGTCACAGGGTAGCAAAGAACCCCCTTACCCCTGGCCAAACCTCTCTGCCCCTTCCACCCAGGTCTCCTCACCCTCCAGGTCATCCAGATCCTTTGGCCGGGTCCAGCAGGACTCCTGACTCTGGTTGTTATAGTAGTAAGGTTTGCCTGTGTCCGACTTGTACTCTTTCCAGGGACTTTGGGACAGCAGCAGCTGCAAGAGGATGGGTCAAAGGACATCAGTAGGCTGAAGAGCTCTCCAGCCATAATCAGAGGAGCAAAGGGAACCCCAGTGAACAGAGGACACAGTAGCCCTTAGCGCCCATCTTGCCGGGCTTGAATGGGGAAGGTGGATTTCCTGAGGTCCTGGGAAAACACTTCCAGGTAGTATAGGGGTGGGATCAGGGATCTCGGGATTAGAGGAACCACAGTGAGCATGGTTAGAGACTCAGGGATAGCCAAGAACTTGGAAGGGTCAGGGCAGCTGATAGGAAGGGCCAGAAAGCCCCACTCAGGACCTCCGCCTTGGACTTGAGCACGCTGGGCTTCTCCCACACGGACTGCTTGTCGTCAGCATTGTAGTAGTAGATGCGCCCATCAGGGGCCACATGCTCACTCCATAGGGCCCTCTGGGAGGTGGGGGGGCACAGAATGGTGGTCAAGGCCCTTTTCCAGAGTCTCTCTTCCTCACCCCAAAGATTCTACATCAGCCCCCCACTTTCAGCCTTTCTGCCCAGAGACCTGAGTTAAAAGACTCACCGGAGGACCTGTCCCAGCCACAGCAGCTAGGAAAGAAGCCAGAGAAAACATATTAAGGCTTTGTTCCAACCCCAATCTTATTCCCACCTAGTCCTCCCTTATTCCATCCCCAATAAATAGCCCCCTGGTCCCATCAACATCCCAGGTTCCCTGGTATCCCAACAGGCATGATCCAGGGTGGGCTCCAGTCCATGGTCCCCTCTCCCTTGAACCCCCCAACCTCCGAGCCTGGGGGAAGCAGACCCCCAGAAGACTCACAGCTGGCGGTGTCCGCACCCGGAGCCGTCTGCCGAAGAAAGAGGAGGGGGAAGGGTTGGGGCCAAGCCCAGTGGGCCCCAAGACCCAGGCCATGGGGGATGGAGAAGCAGGCCAGGCCAGGATCCGTGTATCCTGCTTCCAAGAATTTCTGTTCCCTAATAGGCCCCCTCCCATCTGCCAGGGCCGTAGCTCTCAGAGCCCTGGGGAATCATACAGCAGCTCCTTTCTTCATTTTCCACAAGTGAGAGGATGTTGTTAAGTCAACTCCTGAGGCCCATCTCTTCAGTGCATCCCACTGTGACAGATCCTACATCCCACTCAGACTCTACTATACTGAGCGCAGCATAAGAAAGCACAGCAAGATGCCTGGGTACCACTGCCTCCTCAGGAGGCTAAGACGATGGAAAGAAGGGACCATATTATTGTGTCTGTAGTGCATGGCCCTTTGGAGGGGATGGAGTGTCTGGCATAAGTGTGCTTCTTCAGAGTGCTGGATACAGCATGGGGAATAACGAGAGAATACACAAGCCTTCGGGGATAAGCAGGAAACAAATTGCTGAGTAGATGACTGGTGAGAAGAATTCAAGTGTGGGGAGTGCTACAGGGACCAGGGTGGATATAAGAAGAGGGAAAGAACAGAGTCCGTATTTCCGTACTCCAAGTTATACCCACAGGACTGCAGGGCAGAGCCTGCTTCTTGCCAGCCCCTAGTGCTTACCGCTGCGGTGACAGGCACCGCTGGCATCAGCATTCCTGGCATCATCGGAGGGACCATTCCTGGTATCTATGGATATAAAAACCGGTCACTGAGATGAAGGCAGGGTCTGTCAGTCAGGGTTCCCTATGGGTTCAGAGAGATCCTGCTCAGGCCGTGACTCTCACTTAGGCACCTTTTCAGGGGAGTTCCAGGCTCGGGCTCTTGCCTTGCCTTGCCTGAGAGTTGTCTCAGTCACTCAGCAGACAAATCCACATAAGCCTGGCCCAAAACTCCCTTCCCGCCCCAGTTTCTAACACCCAGATTCTCACTCTCACCTCTACCCTCAGCAAAACCTGACAGGGTTCCCTGAGGCTGCCGTGGAGGGAGACAATTACCTGTGTGAGTGGTGGTGGTGCCCCCATTGGTGGAAGCATTGGGGGCAGGATGCCAGGCGGCATGGGGGGGATGGCTGGTGGTCTCTGACTCATGGGAGGGAGCCCCATCGGAGGAAATGGTGGGGGGATCCCTGGAGGGGGCATCTGGAAGTGAGGAAAGGAAGAGAGATTGAACAGAAAAGGCACTGCCTTATTGGGCAGGGGCAGAGAAGACCCATCAGGAAACAGCCACCTGTACCCACCCGGCCCTCCACCCTGGCTTGGAGGCAATTCCAAGGCTTTCATTTGAGAAGCAAAAGACACAAAACTGCCTTCCTCCTTGCCACTGTGAAAGACGGACAATGGGGGCGTTCTCTGGGCCTAACAGGCAAGCAAACAATTTAAGAGGTGGGGAGGGCAAGGGAAAGGGAAGTGGAACAGCACCAGACTTCGGGGAGGCTGTGTCCCTTGGCACTCCTGCCCAAGAAGCTTCTCCATCAAGGGGCAGAAGGCAGGCATCCCCTAGTCCTCTGCCTCCCATCCCTTTCTCTCCAACTCATGATCACCAATGCTATTCCAGCCCAAATTCTGTGGCTTTTTAAAAGAGCACAGGTAAGGAGTAAAGAGAAAGACAGCCCCACCCTGCTCTCACTCTACTGGGGTCTTTTTCCTTTCACTTCTACCTCCAGTCCCAATGTGTCCCAAGAACAAAAAGACAAAGGGGGAACCGGCAGCTTTATGAACTCGAACTTAACAACATCTTTCCCCACCCCCACGCCCAAACAAAACCACCCCTCTTCCAAGGGGCATCACCATGCTGCCAAGGCAGCAATGGCAAGGTCTGGGGAGCTGAGGGTGCAGGCTGGAAAAGCCAAGCCCAGGGAAACACACAAAACTTACGAAGGGTGGTGGCATCATGGGGGGCCCCGGTGGGAAGGGGGCAGGCGCTGCTGGGGGCCGGGGACCAGAATCGGGAACCGACTGTTGAGGGAGAGAAAAGTCATAGGACCCAGGATGGGCACAGAAATGGGCTTTTGTGGAAGGGAAGCAGAAAGGGTGAGGATGAAAAAGCAGCACAAAGTTGAGAGTGGGTCTCCAAGCCCAATTTTCCTGCCCACCCCAAGCTTTGAGTGCTCTCTGTGCCAGCCCAAAGCTAGCTAGCTGAGATCTTCAATGCCATCTCTATTTTGGAAGCTTCCGTTTTGCCACAGAAAAGATGTAGAAGGCTCTCTACTACAAGCATAAACCAGCTCTTCCCAGATTTTAACCCATTCTCCTGCCTGTGGATAAGGCTATGCTTCTCTCAAGCCAGTTAGGAGTGGCCTCTTTTCCTGTCCCTGCTTCAATTAACTCAATTATATAAACTGAATCAAAGCTCTAAACAAATAGCTGCCAGCCCTTTACAGTCTCCCTACCTCTCCTCTCTTCACTACCAGTTTCCTCCCCTAACTAGCCTCATCTTTAGCCACCTACTTTGCTATCATCCAATCCCAATCACAACATCATCTGTCTACACTACTTCTGATCCCTTTTTGGTGGTCACCTCTCAAATCCTTTATATTTTTTGAATGCAAGCTTTGAACAGCCTAAGCATCCTTGCACCATATCTATGGCTGATCACATCTCATCCTTTAAAAAGCCGTCCTGGGCCCATTTAAAGTAGCTCTTTCCAATTCTTTATGTGACCCACTTCAGTTTCCTCTTGTAGACAAGTTTGTTGCTACATTTGCTTGGGTATGGGTTTTCCCCCATCAGAACACTGTAACATTCCCTGAGAGCAGGGATCAATATCTGACTTGTTGAAAGCTGGATTCCTGGTACCTGCTATGGTCTGGCACATAATAGGTACTCAATAAATGTTGAATAAAAGAACAAATAAAGGAACAAGTATCTATACAGAACTTTACAATTCTATAAAATGATCCTATAGATATAGCCCCACATGTCCAAAATGATGTGTGTAGGTTTTCATTTCAGTACTGTTTATGAAAATATTAGAAGCT